CTGAGTAAACTGGAGCTGCCACAGAGAAGGCCCTTTCTCGTGTCCCCATCAGGTGTACCTGCGATGGCCCAGAGGTGGGTCCCCTGTGAGGCTCTTAAGAGCCGAGGAGGCTCACATGGGGAAAGACAGTCCTTCAGATTGCCGGCTAGAGCTTGATAGGCAATAAACAGGGCTTTGAATTGGGCTTGGAAAACAGTGGGTAGGTATTGCTATTTATCACACTGAGAAGACCATACTATACCAGCCTTCTATGTAAGCACTGATCAAATGGAGCATTTCATTAAAAAGGAAAGCGCCAGACTGATTAAGAGCAAAAGTGGTTGAATGTACAGGGATTATTTATTTAAAAGGTAAAGGTTCCCCTTGACAATTTTTGTCCAGTCGGGTTCGACTCTAGGGGCGGTACTCATCCCCGTTTCAAAGCCATAGAGCCAGCGTTTGTCCAGAGACAATCTTTCTGTGGTCACATGGCCAGTGCAACTTAAGACATGGAATGCTGTTACCTTCCCACCAAAGTGGTCCCTATTTATCTACTTGCATTTGCATGCTTTCGAACCTCTAGGTTGGCGGGAGCTGGGACAAGCGACGGGCGCTCACTCCGTCGCTTGGATTCGATCTTCCGACTGCTGGTCTTCTGACCCTGCAGCACAGGCTTCTGCAGTTTAGCCCGCAGCGCCACCACGTCCCTTATTTATTTATTTAGTTACTACTTTTTACTAATTTATTTACTAATACACAGACACACACAAAACCAGACAACAGACACACAATACACTCTCTGCCCCATTAAGTGTCATACACTATTCTGTTTCAAAAATATAATAGTAGTACATTAATGTAATAGTTAAATAAACCACAGAAACTCCAAGAGGCATAAATTGTAAGCATAAAATACAGTATATCGAAATACACAAGGCATTTGTCCTACCAGATCGGCTTCTTCATGGCAATGAAGAGATGAAGGACTACTTGTCATTGGCCTTGCGCCGGCCCCTGCAGGAGAGACGAAAGAAGTTGGGGAGCCAGACATAGAAGCTCCTCTCAAGAGAATATCATAATCCTAAAAACACGGACTAAATACTAAAGTCTTTGTTTAGCACCTGAGGATTCCCGCCACAGTTGAAGGCACACATTCATGCACTGAAAATTCTGCAATTTAAGGAAACCCTGAATGAATGATATTCCAAGAGGGAAGAAGACTGAGACTTTTTATTTTTTATTGAGTAAAAGAATTTCTCCAACAATTAAAAAACACAAAATGTCAGGATTTCTCCTTTCTTCTAGATACTAGAGTTCAACTGCTGCACCAGAATTTTCTTTTACAGTGGTGCCTCGAATAGCGAGCCGCCTCTATTAATGAGGAAAACGAATAGCGATGTGGTTTCTGGGGCATTTTTTCGCCTTGATTAGCGAT